AAACGCTTGAAGGACATAAAGGTTTTTACCACCTTATAACACCAGCACAACTTCTCAGCATAACGTAGCAAACGCTTTTAAGGCAATGTAAAGAAAAGCTGTTGTACGGATGCTCTGGAATTGAGGAGCAGGATACCACCACATGACTGCTGACTTTGCTGACCTACAAAGACCACACTGCAATTTCAGTGCCTGGGGGGCCCTCCGAGCCCCTCCTTCAGGAGGCTGTGGCTCCTTGGTTCACTGGAGCGGCTCTTAGGTCTCCTTGTCTCCATGGATGGGTTAGCAGAGGTGGTTTGAGAGGATGGGGGAAATGGGGTTGTGAGTTTGCTTCTTGCTTCCAAGAAGGAAAAACAATCCTGTCACTGCAGGCCCTCCTGGACCTGCCTCCAACTTTCTGGGGGGCCTCAGCGGAGTCTGGGTGGCTCACACACCTTCCATGGAAGGAGCAACCCCGACCTGGCACAGGTGTAAAGGGCTTCCCAACCTCCACAGCGACTCCCACTGCCCCCGGGCCTAGAACACCATCCAGAGTCCCCCTTTCAAAGTTGTGCTGCAGCCTCTGCAAATGTCACATGCCTAAACACAGATTCTTCGTCTTCTTTTCAAAGCCAGCATCCCTTCTTGGAACGTGAGGCCAGTCACTGCAGGCTTCTCCCCCTTTCTGATCACTCGAGTCAGTCACAAAGGTTGTCAATTCTTCCTTCAGAATCTCTCTCGTGTAGTCTTCCTTCCTTTCCATTTCCACAATCCAAGGCTTGAGGCTCATCACCATGTGACTCTAAATGCTCTCCTCCTCTGGTCCTCCCCACCCTGCTATCACCAGGGACAACAGCCAGAAATGTACCCCATTGCCTCCAGGCCAGTGATCCTCAAAATGTGGTCCCAGACCAGCAGCAGCACCTGAGAACCTGTTAGAAATTCCTGTTCTTGGGCCCACCCCAGACCAACTGGATTAGAAACTCTGGAAGTGGGGCCTAGCAATCAGTGTAACAAATCCTCCAGGGAACTCTGATACCAGCTCAGGGTTGAGAGTCACTGCTGTAAGATAAATTCTAAATGCCTTAGGTGGGCATCCAGGGCCCCACTTCATCTTACCCACACACCTGTCTGTTCAGTTCATCTCCTAAAATAATTACCTCCCATCCCCATCCCACAGCCAA